TTCTCCTCCTCACACCCACTCACCTGCCTTCTCCTCCTCACACCCACTCACCTGCCTTCTCCTCCTCACACCCACTCACCTGCCTTCTCCTCCTCACACCCACTCACCTGCCTTCTCCTCCTCACACCCACTCACCTGCCTTCTCCTCCTCACACCCACTCACCTGCCTTCTCCTCCTCACACCCACTCACCTGCCTTCTCCTCCTCACACCCACTCACCTGCCTTCTCCTCCTCACACCCACTCACCTGCCTTCTCCTCCTCACACCCACTCACCTGCCTTCTCCTCCTCACACCCACTCACCTGCCTTCTCCTCCTCACACCCACTCACCTGCCTTCTCCTCCTCACACCCACTCACCTGCCTTCTCCTCCTCACACCCACTCACCTGCCTTCTCCTCCTCACACCCACTCACCTGCCTTCTCCTCCTCACACCCACTCACCTGCCTTCTCCTCCTCACACCCACTCACCTGCCTTCTCCTCCTCACACCCACTCACCTGCCTTCTCCTCCTCACACCCACTCACCTGCCTTCTCCTCCTCACACCCACTCACCTGCCTTCTCCTCCTCACACCCACTCACCTGCCTTCTCCTCCTCACACCCACTCACCTGCCTTCTCCTCCTCACACCCACTCACCTGCCTTCTCCTCCTCACACCCACTCACCTGCCTTCTCCTCCTCACACCCACTCACCTGCCTTCTCCTCCTCACACCCACTCACCTGCCTTCTCCTCCTCACACCCACTCACCTGCCTTCTCCTCCTCACACCCACTCACCTGCCTTCTCCTCCTCACACCCACTCACCTGCCTTCTCCTCCTCACACCCACTCACCTGCCTTCTCCTCCTCACACCCACTCACCTGCCTTCTCCTCCTCACACCCACTCACCTGCCTTCTCCTCCTCACACCCACTCACCTGCCTTCTCCTCCTCACACCCACTCACCTGCCTTCTCCTCCTCACACCCACTCACCTGCCTTCTCCTCCTCACACCCACTCACCTGCCTTCTCCTCCTCACACCCACTCACCTGCCTTCTCCTCCTCACACCCACTCACCTGCCTTCTCCTCCTCACACCCACTCACCTGCCTTCTCCTCCTCACACCCACTCACCTGCCTTCTCCTCCTCACACCCACTCACCTGCCTTCTCCTCCTCACACCCACTCACCTGCCTTCTCCTCCTCACACCCACTCACCTGCCTTCTCCTCCTCACACCCACTCACCTGCCTTCTCCTCCTCACACCCACTCACCTGCCTTCTCCTCCTCACACCCACTCACCTGCCTTCTCCTCCTCACACCCACTCACCTGCCTTCTCCTCCTCACACCCACTCACCTGCCTTCTCCTCCTCACACCCACTCACCTGCCTTCTCCTCCTCACACCCACTCACCTGCCTTCTCCTCCTCACACCCACTCACCTGCCTTCTCCTCCTCACACCCACTCACCTGCCTTCTCCTCCTCACACCCACTCACCTGCCTTCTCCTCCTCACACCCACTCACCTGCCTTCTCCTCCTCACACCCACTCACCTGCCTTCTCCTCCTCACACCCACTCACCTGCCTTCTCCTCCTCACACCCACTCACCTGCCTTCTCCTCCTCACACCCACTCACCTGCCTTCTCCTCCTCACACCCACTCACCTGCCTTCTCCTCCTCACACCCACTCACCTGCCTTCTCCTCCTCACACCCACTCACCTGCCTTCTCCTCCTCACACCCACTCACCTGCCTTCTCCTCCTCACACCCACTCACCTGCCTTCTCCTCCTCACACCCACTCACCTGCCTTCTCCTCCTCACACCCACTCACCTGCCTTCTCCTCCTCACACCCACTCACCTGCCTTCTCCTCCTCACACCCACTCACCTGCCTTCTCCTCCTCACACCCACTCACCTGCCTTCTCCTCCTCACACCCACTCACCTGCCTTCTCCTCCTCACACCCACTCACCTGCCTTCTCCTCCTCACACCCACTCACCTGCCTTCTCCTCCTCACACCCACTCACCTGCCTTCTCCTCCTCACACCCACTCACCTGCCTTCTCCTCCTCACACCCACTCACCTGCCTTCTCCTCCTCACACCCACTCACCTGCCTTCTCCTCCTCACACCCACTCACCTGCCTTCTCCTCCTCACACCCACTCACCTGCCTTCTCCTCCTCACACCCACTCACCTGCCTTCTCCTCCTCACACCCACTCACCTGCCTTCTCCTCCTCACACCCACTCACCTGCCTTCTCCTCCTCACACCCACTCACCTGCCTTCTCCTCCTCACACCCACTCACCTGCCTTCTCCTCCTCACACCCACTCACCTGCCTTCTCCTCCTCACACCCACTCACCTGCCTTCTCCTCCTCACACCCACTCACCTGCCTTCTCCTCCTCACACCCACTCACCTGCCTTCTCCTCCTCACACCCACTCACCTGCCTTCTCCTCCTCACACCCACTCACCTGCCTTCTCCTCCTCACACCCACTCACCTGCCTTCTCCTCCTCACACCCACTCACCTGCCTTCTCCTCCTCACACCCACTCACCTGCCTTCTCCTCCTCACACCCACTCACCTGCCTTCTCCTCCTCACACCCACTCACCTGCCTTCTCCTCCTCACACCCACTCACCTGCCTTCTCCTCCTCACACCCACTCACCTGCCTTCTCCTCCTCACACCCACTCACCTGCCTTCTCCTCCTCACACCCACTCACCTGCCTTCTCCTCCTCACACCCACTCACCTGCCTTCTCCTCCTCACACCCACTCACCTGCCTTCTCCTCCTCACACCCACTCACCTGCCTTCTCCTCCTCACACCCACTCACCTGCCTTCTCCTCCTCACACCCACTCACCTGCCTTCTCCTCCTCACACCCACTCACCTGCCTTCTCCTCCTCACACCCACTCACCTGCCTTCTCCTCCTCACACCCACTCACCTGCCTTCTCCTCCTCACACCCACTCACCTGCCTTCTCCTCCTCACACCCACTCACCTGCCTTCTCCTCCTCACACCCACTCACCTGCCTTCTCCTCCTCACACCCACTCACCTGCCTTCTCCTCCTCACACCCACTCACCTGCCTTCTCCTCCTCACACCCACTCACCTGCCTTCTCCTCCTCACACCCACTCACCTGCCTTCTCCTCCTCACACCCACTCACCTGCCTTCTCCTCCTCACACCCACTCACCTGCCTTCTCCTCCTCACACCCACTCACCTGCCTTCTCCTCCTCACACCCACTCACCTGCCTTCTCCTCCTCACACCCACTCACCTGCCTTCTCCTCCTCACACCCACTCACCTGCCTTCTCCTCCTCACACCCACTCACCTGCCTTCTCCTCCTCACACCCACTCACCTGCCTTCTCCTCCTCACACCCACTCACCTGCCTTCTCCTCCTCACACCCACTCACCTGCCTTCTCCTCCTCACACCCACTCACCTGCCTTCTCCTCCTCACACCCACTCACCTGCCTTCTCCTCCTCACACCCACTCACCTGCCTTCTCCTCCTCACACCCACTCACCTGCCTTCTCCTCCTCACACCCACTCACCTGCCTTCTCCTCCTCACACCCACTCACCTGCCTTCTCCTCCTCACACCCACTCACCTGCCTTCTCCTCCTCACACCCACTCACCTGCCTTCTCCTCCTCACACCCACTCACCTGCCTTCTCCTCCTCACACCCACTCACCTGCCTTCTCCTCCTCACACCCACTCACCTGCCTTCTCCTCCTCACACCCACTCACCTGCCTTCTCCTCCTCACACCCACTCACCTGCCTTCTCCTCCTCACACCCACTCACCTGCCTTCTCCTCCTCACACCCACTCACCTGCCTTCTCCTCCTCACACCCACTCACCTGCCTTCTCCTCCTCACACCCACTCACCTGCCTTCTCCTCCTCACACCCACTCACCTGCCTTCTCCTCCTCACACCCACTCACCTGCCTTCTCCTCCTCACACCCACTCACCTGCCTTCTCCTCCTCACACCCACTCACCTGCCTTCTCCTCCTCACACCCACTCACCTGCCTTCTCCTCCTCACACCCACTCACCTGCCTTCTCCTCCTCACACCCACTCACCTGCCTTCTCCTCCTCACACCCACTCACCTGCCTTCTCCTCCTCACACCCACTCACCTGCCTTCTCCTCCTCACACCCACTCACCTGCCTTCTCCTCCTCACACCCCCTCACCTTCCTTCTCCTCCTCACACCCACTCACCTGCCTTCTCCTCCTCACACCCACTCACCTGCCTTCTCCTCCTCACACCCACTCACCTGCCTTCTCCTCCTCACACCCACTCACCTGCCTTCTCCTCCTCACACCCACTCACCTGCCTTCTCCTCCTCACACCCCCTCACCTTCCTTCTCCTCCTCACACCCACTCACCTGCCTTCTCCTCCTCACACCCACTCACCTGCCTTCTCCTCCTCACACCCACTCACCTGCCTTCTCCTCCTCACACCCCCTCACCTTCCTTCTCCTCCTCACACCCACTCACCTGCCTTCTCCTCCTCACACCCACTCACCTGCCTTCTCCTCCTCACACCCACTCACCTGCCTTCTCCTCCTCACACCCACTCACCTGCCTTCTCCTCCTCACACCCCCTCACCTTCCTTCTCCTTCTCACACCCACTCACCTGCCTTCTCCTCCTCACACCCACTCACCTGCCTTCTCCTCCTCACACCCACTCACCTGCCTTCTCCTCCTCACTGTTCTTGCCGTGCTCCGCAGCCCTCTTGCTGCACAGTCCCCGCCTGCCCTCTTCTTGTGCTCCTCACATTCCCCTGTGGATTCCCTTTCCCACTGCTCTTCCCACACCCATCGTCTGTGCTCTTCGCACACACGTTACTTGTGCGCTGGACTGTCAGCTTTCTTTGGCTCATCTTCTGTCAGAAAGCCACTACGTCACATGCGGCACCTGCCATCTTCCCCTGTCCGCCTGTGCCCTACTCCATGCTGTCCCATACATGCTTACGCAATGTGCCCATGCCAGTTACCTGGGGAGCAACCTGCTGGACGGCACCCTTCCTTCCACCCTGGGCGCTCTCAACCAGCTGCTGGAACTGTCAGTGCACCGCATGGCACCGCATGGCACCACATGGCACCACGTCGCACCACATGGCACTGGACGCAGCACAGCGCACAGCAGAGCATCCACGGCAATGCTCGGCCTTCAAGTGCTCGCACACGCACCACCCACACACATGCCTCTCACCCTCGTCCTCAGCAGCCTCATGGCCCATGTGCATCCCATGTGCATCCCATGTGCATCCCATGTGCATCCCCATGAATCCAAAGCTGCATGCCACTTTGACTCATGCTGCCACCATCCTCCTGTCGTCTCTTTCTTTCATGCCCCTTCACAGCTCGCCACTATGTGTGCTGTGCCGTGCCATGCCATGCCATGCCATGCGTGCCACTCCTTCATCTGAGCGCCATCTCCATGCGGCCACGCCTTTCACCCTCTCCCTCCCCCAACCCCCCCCCCCCCCCCGCGTGCGTGTGCAGGGACCTGTCAAACAACACGCTGCAGGGGTCCATCCCTGCGACCTTCAGTGCGCTCTCCAACCTGCGATCTCTGTCAGCTCCCACCCTCACACACCAAATCGCCCTCGCTCTCTCCCACAGCATCTTCCCGTGCTCCTCCACTTTCCAACTGTCATGGTGGCTGTCTTGGTGATTATGATGAGAGCACACTCCGCTGCACGCCCCACGTTCTCAAAATACAAGGCATCCGTCTGCCCGCATGGTCTGTGACGATCTCTGCGCCCTGTTGTCTGCCCCCTCTCTGCCCGGCACTCCTCCTTGTGCCCCTCATACCTGCAGCGACCTGGCGCAGAACATTCTCAACGGCTCCCTGCCAGCCTTCCTTGGGAACTTGACGAACCTCGATACCTTGTGAGCACAACTGGCACGCTGCCACTGTGAGCACCCACCACTCTCCACTGCGATCCCATTCCTCCGCCTATGCTTGGCCATATCACTGTGGCCATCTGCATTCTTGCTCCATACACTACGCTGGTCTCCCCTCTCATGTCTCCCACTCCCCCCCCTCTTCTCTCGACATGCACCCAGAATGCTCTCACCTTCCGTGTGTTCCAATTCCATTCATGCCGTTACCTCTCCGAATGCCTCTCTGCGTGTCTGCCTCTCTGCGTGTCTGCCTCTCTGCATGTCTCGCCGTGCAGAAACTTTGCAGAGAACGATTTCAAGGGCAATGTGCCGACTGATTTCAGTCAGCTGTACCAGCTGGAGACCCTGTGAGTCCCGCTCGCACCCCACCGACACCACTTGTAATGCATGCTTGTACGTGCCGTGCATCTCATTCATGTACCTGATATCCATGCTCTTCTGACTTTTACCTTTCCCTCATTGCTTCGCCTTCCATGCATGTCATGTCACTCCCGCAGCGTCCTGCACACATTGTGTTGCCCGTCCTCATGCAAGTCACGCGTCCCACATCACCTTCCCTAGTCGTCCTTGCAGCTCCCCCATACTGCCACCTTCCCCTCCACCACCTTACCTAATCCTCCACACTCTTTCAAGCATTCACGCCTGCCTGTTCATCTCCCCACCCTCTATGCAGTGACCTGAGCAACAACGTTCAACTTGTTGGTATGATCACTGCCAGCCTTGGACAACTCACCAATCTCACCGACTTGTGAGCACCTCTGCCCCTGCCATCCCCTCCGCGTTTCCCTCCCCTTCCCTTCCCCTACCTTTCCTTCCCCCCCACCGTCCCCTGCACATCACCACACATTGAATCCTCCCCGCCATTCCTCTCTGCCTTGTTCCATCCACCCATCAGTAACGTGGCCGGCACGTCACTGTTTTGCCCCAACAACTCGCTCCCCTGCGCGCTTCAGCCCAACCCGGACTCGGGCTACTGTGGTTTCTGCCAGGAGTTCTGTGATCGCTGTGGAGGCGGTGAGTGAGCAACCCCACCGCACCTGGACACACTCCTTCGACGCGCACCTTTGCTACGTGCCATGACCGTCTGTGCCCTTTGACTTGACTGTCACTGTGTCTGAATTTGTCTGGCTGTGACTGTGACTGTGTGGTAGGAGGAGGGGATAGAGGAGCATTTAGAGCCAACAGTGACACTACTGGCCCCTACCTACTGTTGTCCCACCAAACGTCCCACTTCCTTTTTTTCCTGCTCAACTCCGTGTTTCACATCCCCCCCCCCCTCTCTCTTTCTCCTTTCCTGCTTGCTGTCCCTTTCAAAGGCCCAGCACCACCGTCGCCACCGATAGTGCCACCGCTGCCACTGCCCCCGCCATCGTCCGGACCACCAATGCCGTTCCCCCCTAATGGTGGAAACGTCCGAGTGCCGCCCAGGCCCGTCAACGCCACCACCCCGCCACCCAGCAGCGGGGGCCTGTCAGGGGGCGCCATAGCGGCCATTGTGATCGGGCTGCTCATTGTGCTCATCACTGCTGCTGGCCTCGCATACATTGTCATCACCCACAAGCCCGACGCGCCTGACCATGAGGGTACGACATTATTTATCCCATTTCTTGCACTCTTTACTCCTCACTCCTCTGTTCTCCACTCTTTCTCCTCTCTCCTCCCGTTCACACTCTCTTTCTCTCTCCCTTACTCCCAACTCCTCCTCTTCCCACACACCATCACTGATAGCAACCCTGATTGTGCTGGCTGTGCTTCCATGTCCTCCCACACACACTCTCCTCCATGCAGACCTGCTGGTGTCAACAGCACCGTCATCTGTGGGAACCAACCGCGACGAATATGCGCGCATGCGTAAGCCACTGCACCACCCTGTTGCTGCCAATTCCACGCACACACACATCGTCACATAATTCATCCATCCTGCTCTTTCTGTGCTGCACTATTTTTGTTCCTCCCTTTGTTCTGCCACGATACCTGCAGGCCCTCCGGGAGCTGCGTAGCACACAAGGGGTCAATGCCAAGCTTGTTTATGTAGAGTGGTGTGGCATGTCTACATGAGTGTAGAGCTTTCTCGTGTGTGTTTTTATCATCCCATAATCTGCTACAGCCATTGCTATGCTAGATGTGTTTCGCTTTTGTTACTGCAAGTAGTGAGGCATTCCTTGTGCCACATGTTGCCAGTGTTTGATGTTTGTCAGGAAATGCTTCTATCTAGGTTTGTAGTCGAGAGACATACTGCATATAAAAAAGATGGTGGAGGTTGAAGAGGAACATGTTTGAAGTCGGGAGCAGTGCTAGAGCCCTTGCTAAACACACGAAAGCACTAGCCCCTTCACGATGAGCATCTTGTATGCACAAAACGGAATGAAGACCAGAAAAATGAATCTTCTCCACCCAACGACTTTTTATTTCCATCTACAATAGACATCACGATCACCCATCTTACTACCATTCACACATCCTACCATAATCCGACGCCGCACACTTACAGTACTAGCCCATAGCCACGACCATTAACAGCGAACACGCAGTCTTTCTAATGTCCCGCATTTCGTCGCGCCGCGTCAGTTGACGACGCTGCAGGTGCGGCGGATCTCGCCATTGCGGCCGGTGAGCACGCCGAAGGAGCCCATGCGCACCATGGAGTGGCGGAAGTGGCGGAAGAAGCTCTTCTTGTCCGCCGCGAACTCGTTCACCAGGTCCTTGGTGCGCGCGTCGATCATCAGCACCTGGTCGCTCGTCAGAAGCCCGAACTTGCGCTGCAAGTTCTTGAAATACTGCGAGCGCAGCGAGGGGCGGAGATAACATAGGGAAGAATTGTTAGAGGGCCCTACGACAGCAAGGGCCCTCGATGACCTTTGACTTGGCAGGTCGGCGCCTAACGACTGAGTCTACTCGGCACCGACGCACGAGTTCGGTGGCGGTCATTAGTGACTACGGGTGACTGTGAGCTACTGCAGCGAACTCGGCGGAATCGGTGCTAGGAATGACGAGTCTTGGGGGTCGTAGGTGCCTTGCTTGTGAGGCACGCTGCTCACTTGCTGTGTTGGCAGGAGTAGCGTGCACGGTGAGACATTCCGGTGCCGAGTTGGGTTGGAAATGTGCGGGGCGCGTTCACCCACCTGCACAGCACTTTCGTGTGGGTTGGGTTACTCGCAGCGCCACGCAACAATTGTGCAACTCTTGCTTGCCTATATATGTTTGTGTTTGCTTGTGTGTTTGATAATTGATATTGCAATTCTACTTGGCCCAAATGCTACTTCAATTCTCACAAAGTCCTTAGAGGCAAACGCTACCAAAACTCTACCAAGTTGCTGGCGCAACATCATTCCCATAGCAGAGACTCTCTCGCTATCGCTACGCTCTCTAATATATTCCTTCAAGAATAGGTCTTAACATGAAGGCTGTGAGAAACGTTTGTTAACCAGAAAGGTGGGGCGAAGTTTTTTGTTCATTGGCTGAAATTGTGGTGCGCTCCTAGAGTGGCTTACCTGGTTGTCGAACCGCTTAGCGCTCTTGATGTCGAGGACGACGGGGATGGTGCCGTCGACCTTGGGCGCCTTGCAGTGGCCCTCCAGGTACTTCCGCATGGACCGCGCAATCGTCGGGTCGCGGTTGGGTGCGATGCGGTGCGCGACGGTGTCGCAGTGCGACTCGCCGATGGTGTGGCCTCCGGAGAGCGTGACGAGGTCGACGAGCGTGAGATTGATGGCGGCGAAGTTGCTCAGCAGCGCGTTCACGTTCATCTGGTGCCCCGGCAGAAACTTCACAGCCAGAGCGGCCTTCGACGTGCGCGAATCGCGGCGACCCAGCTGGGTCTTAATGTATGGCCCGCCGACCTGCACGACACCCATGGGCGCAAACAGAAAGGCGGCGTATTGTGAACAACGTAGAGGGGCATAGTTGTGGGAGATGATTGGATAATAGTGGAAGCCGCATCACTGCGAACGGCAATTACAGACTGAGAAAGCGGCGGAATATAACGCACCAGGCTGACGCCATCGCGCGCGGCGAGAGCGGCGATGTCGGCGCAGCTGACGACGCCGGGGCATTTGGCCTCGACGGCCGTCTTGATGCGGTCGATAATGTTGAAGCCGTTCAGCGACAGGTTGGGCGGGGCGTTCTTCTCTGCTTTGTTACCCGGTGTCGAGTTCAGCAGCACAGATCCGTCGCAACCCTGCGGACGCCAGGCGAGATAGAGGAAAAAAGACGCCGTGAGCGCCAAATGTAGGCGAACAGTAGATAAGCGGGGCAAGAAATCAGGCAAGTCGTACCTGGACGAAGCAGTCGTGGAAGTGAAGGCGAAGAAGTGGTGCTGGAACGGTTTGGTCTTTGCGAAACTCGTCAATGACGATCTCACGAACAATCGTCTCGAGGTACGGGCACGAGTCCTTGTAATACGCCCGGCTCAGTCCCTTCGCTTCGGCGCCTTGGAGAGGAGACATACGCCATGTGGCGATGACGAGAAGTAGCAGAAGGAGATGCGACAGCCCACGAGCCATGTCGAGCAGACAATCAAGAGGTGATGGAGAAGGAAGGAGCAAGCACGAGAAATGCGAACGTGAGCACTTCTATGGATAAATTGGCTTGGTGATGGGGAGGAGAGCGCCGCTTTTCTACAGCAATGGCGGCGCGGGTGCTTCTGCCAGACACGGCCCTTGTTAGCAAAACGACTGTAGTTAAGGCTAGTAGCCCTGAGTACGTCGAAAACAGATTGAAATAGGGGAACTTATAGGAAATAAACTTCGAAAAGCCGAGATGTCGTTGTACAAAGACTGTGTCGAACTGCATGGCGTCCTCGGGGGGACGGGTTTCAGTTCGAGGCCAACGGAAATCAATCTCTCGCTTTCATCCATCAATTGGGTGTACAGCACGAAAACCAGCCAGAAAACCGTGCCGCCATCCTAAAATGGTACGGTACCCAGCTGCTTTGTTGGTGGAATACCCACTGCGGCTTGCTCAAGGGAGGTCCACACTCAGGACGTGTTTCAGTTCGCCTTTGATTGCCTCGATCAGACACGATCATAACTTCGAGGAAGTTCTGAAGACGATTTCAGGCGATCGGGGGCAATCACTCGATCGCGATCAGCTGATCGCCCCAAAACGATCAACCGCCTAAAACAGCCCAATCAAACACAATCCCACACAATCACCGACGATCACTTGATTGCATTTGATTGGGGTACTAAGCGACGCTGGCGAATTGTTACATTGTTCGGCATAAATTCGTGAGTTTGTCGCGAATACCCCGCCGTCGCGAATCTTGAACTGCAGCGTTTCTGGGCACCTGCTTTCGCGAAATTTCAGGGAAACACTAAGCTCGCTATTTCTATGCCGAGGCATTCGCAGTCGCCAAAGTGGGCCCGAAAGTAGCAGGAAGGGTCTGGACGCTTGCCATGTACCCTCGTGGAAAATGCAAGAAACTATTTAACTGATCGGGCGGCGCGAGCTATTCAAACAAAGGCAACCCGATCAGATCAGCCCCGACCAGATCACAGCCAACCAGAGGCGAACCGAGACAAGTCCTCAGGTTGAGTGGGCAGATGTCACCCAGTTTATCTCACATCTAGCCCGGATGAGGCTAAATCTATCAGCTTCCTCACATTTTCCTGGAATGTTTGCCTTACATCGTGATCACCCTCGAATCACTAGATGGTTGAACTGCTGTTTTGTACAACTGCACCGTTCGAGGTGCACCCTGAACCAAGTTGAGATTCCAAGTTCCTACACCAGTTCAACCTAGCAAAAAAATGAAACAGTTCCCACAGCACAGCAAATGTTTTTGTTGACGAATTGTACGAAACACACTCTCAAAACCTCGAGTCGGGATTTTTGGCAGTCCGTAAATCCATGTCACCTAAGTATTGTGACATGGACGTTTTTAATTGGTTGAAACATTTTTTTCCGTGACAGCTTGAGACTGGGAGAGGCCAGGCCCGGAAGCTGGTGTGGATGGCGGCGTCGCCCAAGCCACAACCATGACTGCTCGGTGCGCACTCATGTACAATTCACAAATGTACAAATGTTTTTGCTTAGAGTCCCAGTGAAAAACACACGCGCTGCGGGCCTTTGTGGAAAACCCTTCAAACCCCAGGCAAACGGGACTCTATAGTCCCATATTCAGTAAAACTGCATGGAAATTGGTTTTGCTTCGCTAATAGTTGTTGTTTCCTGTCATATACGTACCAATTCGGAATGCGCTCGATTCAATTTCTTGTCGCAAGAATTCTCCACGTTCATCAATGTTGCATGACTGACGGGCAGAATAAACAACTTCGGTTAGGTTTTAGGAATTAATGAAAGGAAATATAGTTTGTTTTTCCCTGTCATCGTCGAGCGCGCTGAGTAACGCTCGACGGGATTTAGAAGTAAGCGCAGTCAAGATAAAAAATCAGAAGTAGTTTTAAATGTAAATGTCAAAACAGAAATTCATTCCCTCACAATTTCCGGGTCGGTTCGATTCGGGCCTTCCGATTGGCTGCGGAACTGATCCGCAGTCAAGCTGCAAAATTTCCCGCCAAAAAGGGGACTGTAGAGGAGGGGCTTCACCTAGGACATATATGAAAGATCTACACGACGGGGAAAATGGACTCTCTTAGGAAGGGCTTCTAAGCCAGAACATCTGTAGTCAATCAGACCGTGTGACAAAAACAATATTCGACATGCCAAAAATGATTTCATACTGTTACGAGTGCAATTGGGTGAACGAACGATAATTGCACTATCGAAGCAAGAGTACAATGAGCAAAGGATTGAGCGATAACTAAATAGCAAAGACCACAGTGGTAACGTTAACGAAGTGTGGGTGACGTGCGACGGGCCTGGAACTGAGGTTGGGACTGTGGTTGGGAAATGTCGAGGCGGAGGCCCGGAGCGCGGGTTACCCGCCGAGCCGTGAGGTCGGGGTGCGACGTGCGAAGGTGGCGGGAGGATTGTCGATGCGAGGGTTGCGAGTGGTAACGGTGCTGACTGTGGTGCTACAGTGATGTATGCGCTGAGCAGGGGCGCGAAGTAAGGAAAAATAATTTTCCTTACACTACCCCCCCACCCCCCCCCTTAGGAGAGCGCATGTATATCCCGGAAATTTCGGCTGCGTAGGTACTCGATGAGGACGGGGTGATTTTCGATTCTACGTATCTAGGGGAACCCATTTGTCTTCGGTGGGTGTGCGGTCCCTCCAGCGGATCAGAAATTCGATCCTTCGGGCTCCTCGTGGGTCACGAACTCGGTGGCTCAGAATCTTCTCGGGCGTGATGATTGGCTCGGTCGGCGGTCGTGTCATGCTAGCTGGGCGGTTGCGGGGCAGTTGGCTGGTGGTTGGTACGTAGGGGCGGAGTAGGCTGACGTGGAAGGACGTGCTGACGTACCAGTCAGCAGGGAGGAGGAGATGGGCGGTGACGGGTGTGATCATGTGGCTAATGCGGAATGGCCCACAATATCGAGGGCGGAGTTTTGGAGTAATGGGCAGGCGGAGGTTCTAGGTGTCGAGTAAAACTAGGTCGTCGGGCTGGTAAGTGACAAGTCGGCGGTGGCGGGGGTTTAGCGACAATGTTTGATTTCTTAATCGCGTCTGCTGCTCGAGTCCGTGCTGCTTGTAAAATTTCGGCAAACTGTTGCGCTCGTGGCACCAAGTTGTTGGGATTCGGGGTCATGGGTACTGTCGGGTCTTGTCCGTAGTTAAGGTAAAACGGTGACTGTTGGGTCGTGGCGGAAGGCGAATTGTTGTACGCGAACTCGATGAGTGGCAGCTGCTGTTCCCAGGTGGTTGGATCGTCGCACGTGGCTCGGATGAGTTGCTCCATGGTCTGATTTGTCCTTTCTGTCTGTCCGTCAGTCTCGGGGTGGTACGAAGAACTGAACTGTAGCCGCGTGGCGAACTGCTGCCACAAGTTCCGCCAGAAGTTGCTGGTGAATTTCGTGTCGCGGTCGCTGATAATCGCTGCTGGTATCCCGTGCAGTCGAACGACAGTGGAGACGAAGAGGCGCGCTGTTTCTTCGACTGTGATTGATTTCTTGCAGGCTGCAAAGTGTGCCATTTTCGTCAGTCGATCGACGACGACCAAGATCGCGTCGTTCCCACTCGCTCCGGCCGGTAACCCCGTGACGAAGTCCATCGTCACCTGCTGCCAAGCATGCTCTGGGGGTGGTATCGGCTGCAACTGTCCTGCCGGCCGCTTCCGTGATGATTTCATGATATGGCAAGTGGGACACGATGCCACTTGTCGTTGAATGTCGGTCAATAATTCGGGCCAGTAATAATACCGCTGCAGCTGCTGCCGTGTTTTCTCTACCCCAAAATGCCCCGAGGTAACTCCGTCGTGTGCCTCCTGTAACAGTAATTCCCGTAGCAGTGTGTACCCTGGTACCCAGATGCGGTTGGTCCCGGCTTTTACGTAATAAACTCCCTTTGCTGCTGCGAACTGATGCGAATCCCCTCCTGTGAAGAATGGATCCGTTTGGTACCCGTGGGTAAATATTCCTGTCAGTAGTGGGCTGGTCTGGGCAAGTAGTATTGCATGGATCTGGGCAGTGGGGCGGGTCAGTGCGTCGGCAATGTTCGATGCCCCCTTTTTGTAGGTGACCGTGTAGTGAAAATTGGACTCGAGGAAATCGAGCCAGCGGATCTGTCGTGGGTTGAGGTGGGGCTGTGCGCGGAGGTACTGTAGTGATTTATGGTCTGTCCGTACTGTCACGTCTGTGTCGGTCAAGTAACAGCGCCACAGTTTAAATGCGTGCACAATCGCGAGCATTTCGCGGTCGTGTATCGGGTAATTTTTCTCACGCGGATGCAGTTTTCGTGACTCGTATGCGATGGATTGTAGGCCGTTGCCGAAGTCCTGTAGCAGTACGGCTCCGATGGCGATGTCGCTGGCGTCTGTAACTACTTCGAATGGGCGTTGTGGGTCAGCAATGCGCAGTACGGGCAGTGAACAGAGGACAGTTTTCAGGGCAGAGAAGGCAGCATGCTCTTTCTCCCCCCACGTAAAAGCGACCCCCTTGCGCAGTAAGTCCGTGAGTGGTGCTGTTAAACGTGCCATGTCGGGGACGAACCGACGCACATCATTTACGAACCCCAAAAAAATCTGCAGCTCCGTGATGTTCGTTGGGGGGTGCCACGCTTTTACCGTGTCCAACTTCTTCGGGTCGATTTCGACCCCAGCCTCCGAAATAACGTGCCCCAAAAACTCTAGCCTGTCCTGAAAAAACTCGCACTTGGAACCCTTTGTTAGTAGCCGATGCTTGTCTAAAATTTTAAACACGGCTTCCAGATCTGCTAGGTGCTGCTGCTTGTCACGACTGTAGACCAGGATGTCGTCGAGGTAAACTATCACGCATTTATCTAAAAGTGGCGTAAACGCCTCGTTCATGGTAATCTGAAATGTCGCCGGTGTCAGAACATTATAGCTCATGCATATTGTGTAGGCTATAGTGGGGCAGTCCATAAGGGGTACAACCCAATTAGGGTTAGTACTTGTACCCAATTCATTCATAGTTCATTCAT